GTGGGAGTTGAACTCCTTTCTTATGCAAACGCTTTCTTTCGTTCCAATAAATTTGCATAGATGCCGGCCACGTGAGAGAAAACACTCTATAGTAAAAAAATACATTCACGAGGTTCGTTTTCAACGTATTTCAATTCAAGGCCCTTTAGGTACGTTAATGGCAGATTTCCCTACCTTTTGTATGCTTCAACTCGTGAAATCTCCCCTCTTTGATATAACTGAAGCCTGAAAAAGGTGCCTCTTTCAAGCTGAGCCTCCTTGTGTAAACCTTTGTAGGGAGTATTCCCCCAGGGTGTTGACCTCAGGGGGGAAAGATCCCCTTTCAAAACTATGTTGACATCTCGCATGCATGGCCATGCGTCTCGCACGCAACAACAGCAGCAACAACAACAATCTTTACTTGTACTCACTCTTGCTCAAAAATAAATTACGGCAATGAAAATATTAAAAGTAAGAATTAGAGTACTGGCTGCCTGGAATAACCATAGGGGCCAGCGGAGCCAGGCTGCCAGTTGACATCAGCATTAAATAGAAATATATTAAAGGATAGCAGGAAAACTGAAGCACCAATGGACACATAAAAAAAGAGAGAGAGAGAAGAGGAAAAAAACGTAGATGAATTAATACAACATGTAACACGAAAGAGGAAGAAAAAAAGAGAAAAACGCAGCTTTTATAAGCTAAATTCACCGTAAATTTAACGAAGCTCAAATATTACCGCCATCTTTCTCGCTGACCGCTGACCGTCGCAACTTTCTTGAAAGCGGATTCTTTTAAAATATTTGAATAAAGAGAAGAAAGAGGCGCAATATGGTCGATGGTATCAAGAGAGAATAAAGGGAGAGAAAGAATCTTGGGGTGTTGGCCGGGAGTCTGATTCCCAAGACGTCCGCACGGACTGTTTGAAACGTCATCAAGTCTACGCGCAAATGCCTCAAAGCAAACAATGCCGAATATTGTAAATGCGACTGATGTATTCTCTCATGACAAGACTGAATAAAAGTTNAGAGAAAAACGCAGCTTTTATAAGCTAAATTCACCGTAAATTTAACGAAGCTCAAATATTACCGCCATCTTTCTCGCTGACCGCTGACCGTCGCAACTTTCTTGAAAGCGGATTCTTTTAAAATATTTGAATAAAGAGAAGAAAGAGGCGCAATATGGTCGATGGTATCAAGAGAGAATAAAGGGAGAGAAAGAATCTTGGGGTGTTGGCCGGGAGTCTGATTCCCAAGACGTCCGCACGGACTGTTTGAAACGTCATCAAGTCTACGCGCAAATGCCTCAAAGCAAACAATGCCGAATATTGTAAATGCGACTGATGTATTCTCTCATGACAAGACTGAATAAAAGTTTGAGGACCTCTTTGGAAACCGTCTTCCGATTAATTTCAAGCGTATAATTGGTCTAAAAATAACTTTGGTGAATTTCACATAACCCAATTATTCTCTCTTGATGGTATTTAAGAATTTGAGAATTTGAGAATTTGTTTGAGAATTTAGGGGCAAAGCGTGATGCACTGATTCATATCAAAGCAGAGTTTCACAAAAATCAGAAAATAAACCAAGGTTATTAAAAAGAAAGAAAAGAAAAAAGCTAACCTTTGCACTGGCCGGGAATCGAACCCGGGCCTCCCGCGTGGCAGGCGAGAATTCTACCACTGAACCACCAGTGCTTCGTACATAAGTGTTCCTGCTGATAAATAGGTCACTTTTGTCGTGCACTTCTACGATCTCCGAAGTGTTGGAGGAAGATATCAAACATCTCGCTGTTATTTCCCGGTGTCCTTGATAGGTGTTAATCGAGACAAGATTCAAGCGTGCAGAGTCACGTGGCTGACTAGGGCGGCTTCCTTTGCCCAAGGGTGGGGATAGAGATCACATAGGTCTATATAGGACTGAGATGGCTAATGTACTCCCTCGTTCATATTCCGTGAAATATATTTAACTGACTACAATTACAGGCGCGGATCCAAGAGCCCATAACCCGGAGCAAGCAACAACCTCGTTCCCAGGATTCTCTTCTACGAGGTTGGGGGTTTTAACTGACCATAAGTTACTTTTCGAACGATTTTGGCGGGAATTCAGAACAGCTTTTTGAGTCCCACGAAATAATCAGCACAACCTACAGCCCTGAAAAGGATATTTGTGATATTTTTGACCTTTTAATGTCGTTTAGTTTTCCTTTTCCATATCTTATCTTTCGAATGTGCTCATGGACGGAGCGGAGCTTCCATTTTCGGAGCAAAAGTGCTCCAAAATGTATATTAAAATAAACCGGACCGTGAAAAGGACTCTTTAATGGGCTCCTGATATAAGATATTTCTTTACACTGTAAATTGTAATTGTAAATATCTTATTATCCACGCCCCTCGGGGCTTTTCAGGGATAATTTACAACACTGGTTGGGGGACTTTGCCAGACTGCTTAAGGTGCAGTTTACAAGTAATGAAGGAATGAGTAATGATGCCCCCATACATGACTGTGACTTTTAATCGATAACTGGATGAGTAAACATATTGCTCATCCCATCTAAACACCTTAACTGAGTAAGTCAATAATTGCGGTTTAAACCCTAATGAGAGGTGACGAGCATCT